TTCCTTGGTGACTATATGGTATAGCAGCTTGGATACCACTTCATCTGCAATGAACATTAAAACATTTTATGTTGGGTATTCAGATGAACACAGAACACTCTAGTGCCTAATTTCATCTGCAGATCCAGTCTTTTCCTCAGAAAATACTGAAAATCGGTACTGTATTTTTCTTAAAGTTTTCTGTGGTGCTTTGAATACTGTCAACCAGCTTGTGGTTGTCAACAAGCATCTGTGCACATCCAGGTACGTATCTGAGACAGACTTGCATTGTGGAATTAAGGAATAAATGGGTACCAGACATTGCCTGGGATTCCTCTATGTGTTTCATCTCTCTAAGGCAACCCTGACTGGGTGCAACCATCAGCCACGCACTTACTTAAATGTTCTCTTTAAGTTTAAAAGCTGCACAAAAAGAGAAATAAAGCATACTACTGCTGGCCTTGAAAAATCAAAGCTGTCAAAACCATTAAACATTGAAATCTGGGGGGGGGGGGGGAGGGAGGTGGAAACTGAAGTACTTTCCCAACTCAGAGAGAAAGGTTTAGGACATTTGGTATTTGTATCAGGACTGTTAGTGAGTACCAGGGTAGTGATTTGGTTCCTGTTGAACGGAAATCGCTAGTTGCCACATGGACTTTATTCATCTAATTGTTAATTGCCAGTTCAGTTGTCACATTTCAGGTCAAATCATTTTAGGTAAAATCATCCTTGCTAAGTATGAACAGCGAAGGGCAGTAGGAGAAATTCAACAGGAGTATTCACTGGCAAAGTTTTTGCCAATGTAGCTTTTTTCAGTGGTCATTCTTTGTAAAACAGTCTAGAATGAGATAGTACAGAGATCGGCATGCCAAAAAACATTGTCCCTATGTTTTTGCTTATGCAAGCCATACTCAATTTTTCCTCACTTAAAGATTCCAACATAATACTTAAATCATCTAAAGATGATACCTAAGTCTGCAGCTGAAAGCCCTTTGATGGACCTGGGTAGCAAAAGGACACCCAAAGAGACATGATGTCCGTGCTGTTTGGCTTCATTGCATGCCTTGCAAAAAGCTGGTAAAGGGAGCTAGCTGGCAGCTTCCAGCCCTACAGGAAGATCAGCTGCTTGCAGAAGCCCTCTTGCCTCTAAAATAAGTAGGGATCTGCTGACCTTGTGCTTTAAGTGAAAAGGAGATGGATGTAAAATTATCGTTTTGGCTGCATGAAGAGCAGTAGGCGTTCAGATGGGTCAGCCTCATTCAGACATGCCAAATTCCCCTCCAAATGAGAGATGCACAGCTTGCCAGCCCACTTCTTGGGATTGCAGACAATGACAGGGACCAGCACTTAAGCAAGCAGCACTTTCCAATGGATCCGGGGTACCAGGATGCAGCTGACAGCCAAGACAAACAGCAAGCCCCAAAGCCAGCAAGACCATTTTGAAACTATACTGGTGGGCTGGAAAGGGCTAGCTGAGTATTACCAGAAGATTACCCTTTTTTGCAATTATTAATTATCTAAAAAGATACCTATTGGTTATATTTTTATTTTTTTTGTCTACCATTGAAAATAAAGCCCAGAGATCTCTGATACATGTCATAGAGGCCAGTATTGGCAACAGTATGAAATTGTTTCATAAACTGAATGTTGGTTAGAAAATGATTAGTAACTCATGGCCAGTAATCGATGTTCCCAGGAGGTTAGGGGGATGGGGGGATGTGAGAAGGCTGTGCCCCTATCCATTAGTATCTGCTGATGTAGCATGCCTCTGCTTTCATCACTTAATGCAACCCAATCTCTAGTGCTCTGCACCTCCCGTTTGATCACGGCTGGGCCTGCTGCTGTGCATTGCCAACAAAACCACTACCAGCCCAAAGGAAAGAAGCATCTAGTGATTCAGACAGCGTTGAGATGTATGCAGGTTTTAGGCACTGTCACTTTTTGGGTCCCACATGTGGATTTTAGAAAAGGTACAGTGCCCTTGGAGAGCAATCAGCCGGAGAGCAAGAAAATCCAAATTCCTGACTTCTCTTTATTTCAAAGCCTAGATTTTTCCTCCTGGAGTAGCTGCATTGACTTCAGTGTTCTGGATCAAATTCAGTTGAGACAGGGAATAGGCATGTTCCTCCTGCAGTTTCAAACACTGGTGGGATTCCCTTGGCTCTCTGACAAGTGTAAAATGATTACATATTGTTGCTAGATCTGTATAAATAGTTACCAGACTTCCTCTGAAAACCCACTGCACTTCAGCAGTGTTTGGAATAGCATTTTGCATCAGTTAAGGCTGTAAATAGTACCATCTTCCAATATGATCTTCCTTACAGAAATGATACTTCATACCACTGCCTCATTATTTTTTTTCCAAACAAATCTGCCTCAAAATAGAGTTTTTCTTTGTTTCCATTTAGCAAAAGGAATTTAAAAATAAATAAGGGAAGTCAATTAAACCTACCTCAAGTAAGGTAGGGCATGTTTAAGTGGGCATGTAAGTTAGACGAGTGTTCCATAACATAGATCAGACCAACTCATATTCGATTCACGAGTGAATCAAGTTACTAAAAGTTCACATTTCAAAAGCGAACAACTATGATGAAAGATTTATTTATTTATTTATTTATGTTACAATGCTGCTGTACAGTTGTAATAGAGATAACCCAGACTCAGGCAAACCTGTGGCAGGCCAGATGCATATCACAGCTCTTTGTTGGGCTATATTCTGGCACTGCACCTCTTGCATCCATTTTCTCCTGTTTCTTTCCCTAATCCTTGTCAATGACAAAATAAATAAACAAATACATAAATGAATAAATAAACAATCTCTTTAAAAATCTGTCATAAAAATCTATCATAACTTAGTCACTCTTCTTGTTTATGTCATAAAGTCACAGAAAGTTTGAGTTGCAAATATGAAATATGAGTTGCTGAAACATGTGAACTCATACTCTCTTTTATTCCCTTTTGTGATTTCTGGAAGCTTTGCAATTTTAAATGTTGTTCCTGACTCCATATATATCAAAAACTGTTGATGCTGCCAAATGCCAAAATACACAGATGTCATCCATTTAACTGAGTAGATTTTTACTATTGACTATGAGCATTTCATGAGATCAATCTGATATCTTCCCTTAGCACCACTGAGTTTTTTTAACTCTTAAGGTAAATAGGTGTTTGGCCAAATTCCTCTGGCTCTACTCTTATGAATTAATTTCATGTATTCACTTTGGCTCTCATGGTATACAGAGAACCATTATGTTTGATTTAATATTTCAAGTTAAGAGCTCTTGAAATGTCTAGTAAATTTGGTCTTTCTGGTAATTCCTAATACTCCATCTATATCATAGCTATATGCACACCACATTATAACTTTTTTAGATATAAAAACAACAACAACAACAACAAAAACTACAGTCTCCTCAAATATACAAGAAAATTGAAGGTATAATAACTGCACCTCTATACATGTGTTCTTGGCCTTGAATGTATTTATTGATGCAGGTCATGGATCTAAACCAACATGAAGTTATTCTTCAGATAAGCTGAACCTTATTCTTCTGGGAGCGTGAAAGATGGCTGAGTTTGACAATGATTTCCTAAGCTTGAGCTGTATGAAGAATAGTAGGATTATGTTATTACAGACTTAGTCTGTATTTTGGTGTCCAAGGAGCTTAAGAAGGGGCAAAATTAGCTGAGAGCACTAACTAAGTGGGAAAGCCTAAACACCCTGCAGTCTCTGTAGGGCAAGGGGATGACATTGCATGACATGTAGTCTTTCACGTTCAAACATGGCACTTGCAAACAGAGAGAGCCTTTCTGGTCAGATGTGGTGCTTGCAGGACAGGATCCTAAGGAAACTGGTTTGACTGAGGAGACTCTTGCATGCAGTCTGGGACAAGAAAGGCACTATGCCCCTCTCAGGACAGATGGACAGCGGCAGGGGAGAAACCTTCTAAACCTGCGCAGGGCTCCCTGACTTGAAGTTCCTGCAGGAACATTATGTTTTCCACCTGCTGCATTCAGTCACTCATGTTAGGAGATGAAAGCAAACGTCTTGTGCAGGACACTACGGCCAGCTCCAGACCAGTAAAGGCAACTCCTAGTGAGCAGAGCTCATTTGGTAGCATTCCCAGACCTTGCCAATGTGCAGCACGGCACATACCAGCAGTCATTCAGCAAACCTAGCCAAAACTCTATTATTGATCTCAAATGTCCTCTCCTTTTCCCAGCAAGGCACTGGAAATAGCATAAGGCTCTCCACTCACTTGGCAGTGCAGCCTACCGACACAGCAGGGAAGTGACATGGGACTCATCACATGGCAGAGACAGATGGGCTCTTCCTGCTCTCTACCTCCTCCCTTTGCCTCTGTTTACTCGAATGCCCTCCTTCCCTTCTCCTGCAGGCTCAGCCTGAGGGTCTAGAAAACCACACGATAACCACACCAGTTTTTGAGCATCTCCACAGACTACCAAGACACTGCAAGGGACATTGGCATTGGGCTTGTCCCTGCAGGTCCTCTACCAGGTGGCTGGCTGCTGAAGGCATATAGCCCCTTGTTGCTGAAGGAGGTGGAGGCCCAGTTAAAGTCCTCTGAATGACTCCAATTATCAGGTAGGGCTGCCTGTCTCAGCAGGGTGGAGTATAGGCCGCAGCTGTGAAGAAAATACTGTCAAGATACTAACATCTGCTGAAATACACAAAGGCAGTAGTCAACAAACAGAGAAAAAGCAAAGGAACTTCTGTTATGACTGTTCCTGATGATTTATGCTGTGCCTGGGGCTTCCCACACCCCGTCCTCCTCTAAAGAGAGCATAAGTTGGTTCGGTTTGGAGAACCTGAGGTGAAGTAAACCAACTCAGTGGAGACAGTTCAAAGGTAATTAGCTGAGCAGAGACAGAGAACAGACTCCTAGAGCTGACATTAGGGAGAAAACAAGCTTAGAGGTGCAGGGAACTAGTACCTGAAGGACCCTGAAGAAGGCCTTCTAATTCACTATCACAGGTGTGATCACTTCAGCTGAGACAGGTGGGAGTAAGAGTTACTTCAGATCTGCGGGGCAGGGTCTCCAGGTTAACTTCTCTACTTGGAACTACCACGTACACCAGCAGAAGGACAACAGTACTTAAAATTGCTGGTTTGTGGGTAAAATTGCTGGTGTGGGATTCCTCTCAGGCCCTTCGTGATACGTGGGGCAGTTTGTGTCAGAGACAGCCTTGAAGAGGGGGTGAGGCAGAGTGGCCATTGGGAGAATTAAATAAGACCTTCTGTTCCATCTGATGAAATCATCAGATACACAAGTTTGGTTCCAAAATATCTTGGATCTGTCTTACTAATCATAATTTGTATGTGCTATGGCTATGGGCCAAGGCTATAGCAAACAGTTACCTTGTTGTCTGATAGCAATTCTCTCCTCTTTTTGTCACTGGTAATTGTTCTCTCGATCGCAGCCATGTGGTCATTGCTATTATAAGGAACTTACAAAATGCTAATAAGGGGTTGCTTGTTTGCTACCTTGAGGCACTTCTCTTGTGCTTATTGCCCATCATTAAAGCCTGTCCTCCCTCCCCTGGGTCTCATTTCCAGATAAGCTCTGTGGCCCCAGGAGACACTTTGCATAGTTTAAAAATTAGCACTGGGGCTGGAGATGGGAGGATTGCCAGCTAGTCAAGCAGCACTAAAAATCATTTCTTTTTTATCTGCCTGTCTCAGTGATCCACCTTCCAAAAGCAAATTATATGCTTCAATTTCCAGTGTTTTCCCTATTCTTGCCTTACTGCCCTGTACTGTCTATTGAATTTTATTCTTAGTTGTACAGATCATTGCGCTGTTACAATGAGATACAGGCCTTAATTCTCCTAGTGTTCTTTCTGTTTTGTTTTTGGTTTTGTGTTTTTGTTGTTGTTGTGTGTTTTTTTTTTTTTTAATTGTTACTAAAATAAAATGGGAACCAAATAAACTAAGAGATGGGTAGAAGGGAATAAGGAGGAGAAGATGAAAGCAAGACTAATGGGACACTGAGGAGGAAGATTAGGGAAAGGAGAGAGTAGGATAGGCAGACAGGGGCCAGAATTCAGATGAAGTCAAGCTGTGTACGTGGACTATTTACTTCACTGCTGTCTGGGGGGTGTGAAAGAAGTTGTCTGAATCTCTGGAAAGGATTTCTCTGTTGTCTAGAGACCACTCCAAACAGAAACAGGGTGCACAGGAGGTCATTCAAGCCCATACATTGCATATTTAATCATTATTTCCTCTAATGCAAGGCTTATTGCCATAGGCATGCTTTCCATTTTATGCATCCCTCCCTTGGGCTGCACATAATTCTTCATATTGTGGCTGACATTTGGGCATCTAAATTACAGCTCTCTGTCTTGCCTTGCAGACTGCAATGACTTTCTTGGCTTTAGAGTATTTGCTGTCCAGATGGTTGCTGTCAAACAAGAAACAGGTGGCAGCACTGATGTGTGGTTTGCCTGTAAATTTCTTCAGAAAACAAGGCAAAATTGCAAAATGCTCTTAAGATGGATGGTCTGTATTACTAGAAGTTGTTTCATCATAGGTATTTTACTAATCTCTGTGGGACTGAGGGAGAGAAAGCCTTAAAGAAGTCTGTGTGCAGCTTGAAGACAACTATTTCTCTGACTTGCATGTTTTCCCCAAGCACCTGACACTGACCTTCTGGGCTTGGCTCCCACCTCCTGTAACTTCTTCTTTCTGCAACTCCTGCATTCATTTACAGGGTGAGTGCCCAGCAACGTATCTGACTGCAGCAACAGAGAGGGCGTTGGTGAAATGGGCACAGGAGGAGGGCGAGGAAAGCCCAAGGAGCAGTGTGGGTGCTCTGGGGGTGCAGGACCCCGTCACTCTCAGGCCGGCATCCTCATTTATTCTCACTCATGCATTCCCTCCACTAGATGGTACTAGGGCAACACATTTGTCTTCGCAGGCTTTCCCAGTGATGATAACCATAATAATAGCCTGCACGTAGGATCAGTAGGCTTTTCTAAGTACAAGAAACTTCTGGTAACGACCATTAAACTTTCAAAGTGAAATACTCAGAATTTAGCAAGGGCCAGAAGACAGGTTTCCTGAGCAATCTTAGCTTGCTGTTGCATCTGTTATGACAATGTTTAATTGCATATATCTTGTTTCTTTTTTCAATATTTTTTTCCTTTCTCCTCTAGGGGCATGTGTAATGCAGAACACTGTTACAGAAAACACATGGTAAGTATTATGTTAAAATTAGACCCTATCACTACTTTCTTCCCCAAAGTTACCATTTCATGATAATCAGATTCATTTTCCTGTCCTCACCAACACATACATTGCTTGCTGCAATATATGGCATCCAAATCAAGGCAAAAGTAATCCTGGTAGTTTATTGGTGTCACTGGCAGCCAGCAGCCCAGTAAATGATAGCGTCTATGATTTCAAAACATTCGTATGTCTTACACAGATGTTTTTAATACTGGGACTTCCATATCTTTAGGATCTTTGTCAAGAGGAAGGATGAGCATGTAGAGAGGAGCGAATCTCCATGTTTGTAGTGATACCACAGTTCTTACATCCTACGTGGAGTGCAGCACTTTATTCCACGGACAGGACTGTGAAAATCTTTGCCTGTTTGAGATGTAGGATCATGTGAGGGAGATGGGTTGCATTCTGCCATTCTGCTTCAAGATAAACAGAATTGCAATAAGATTTGTACAACTTCTCAGCTAAAAATGCTACACAGCAATAAAGGAGCAAGCCTCCCAGTCTGCGCTGGAAGCTTTGTCAGCTCATCAGATGAGTGCAAAGCTGTCTGAAAGAAAAAAAAAAAAAAAAAAAAAAAAGGACTAAATAAACACCTCACTATTTAGGCATGCTGGCCACACCACATGTCTCTCAGACTTTTAAATCCAAGAATCACTGAAATTCTTTGCAAGAAACAATTTCAGACTGTCTACAAAAATTAGGCACAATTTCTTTCATTTAAAACCATTTCATACTCGGGCTCAATCTTGAATACTTATCAACTACTTCTGAATCACCTTCATTTTATTTGTTAGATTGTCATATATGTTAACACGTATCTCTATGTTTTCTGTGTGTACGACTGGATATATATCCCTTCTCACATCCAATGACTGTAAGACCTCCTTGAACTCTGGAAAAGAATCTGAAGAGACAAAAGGAAAAGATAATGTACCCTTCACATTATTTCTTGCTTATAATTCTAGAAGCTTTCATTGGTCATTAATATTATACAGTAATGTATGAGATTCCTCAGGAAGCGTCAGGTTGACAGTATCAATCTCTGGCCAAAGTGTATGTAAGATGTTTTGAGGGCATTTTTAATGAAGAAAAAGGGGATTTTCACAGATGTCATTTTTTAATGTAAGTATTTCAGAATTCTATTAAAAAAGCTACTTGAGGGAAGACAGTTGGAGATAGTTCCATCAGCATTAAAGCAAGATTAGTTTTTACTTTTTTATTTTTTTTAGAACTGGTACCATTTTTTATGCATCTAAAGGGCTTTTCTGCCTGCTAGCAACTCTTTACTTTCTAATGAACCTATGACTGACAGAAAGTTGAGCTTTTCTTTCCTCCCACTAATACCACCATTGTGTGTGCCTTGTTAACCAGTATTGTGTATCAGTCACAAGCTGACTCCTTTGTGTCTTTGTAAAGTATCAATTTAGTCAGCATTATCTACCGGGGAGACAATGGCTCTGGTAAACCCAACGCAAAATCCTGTAACATCATAAGCCCTAAAAACACTGGTCCAGCAAGGAGGGCTTCAGCCCTCAGGAGGCGGTGAGGACAGAGATGGGGAGCTGGCTGCCCGTGCGAAGGGGCAGGTGGATATCAGGGCAGGATTGGCCATGGTGGCCAACCACGGCACAGGGGCAGCTCGGGGAACATCTTTTCTTGGGTCACTGGTGGGGTTGCTTGGCTGGAATAAAACTATGTCACCCAGATCTGCCTTCTAGCCTAGCTTCTACTTGTCTACACTGACATTTGACATCACTGACAAGTTCCCAGTGCCTATCTTGATTTTTGCTTGGTCAGCCGTTTCCAATAGTAAATTTATTTCTCTCCATTGAAGAAAAAAGCAAACCTTATGACAGAACCTAGCAGCTTAGTTGCTGGACTTGGCACTCTGCAAGGAGTTTACGGCTCCTGGTACTTGCAGACCTGTGTTCGCTCCCTGTCCCTCTCTAGGTAGGCTTAAAAGGGAAGAGTAGGCCAGCTTAGTCTCTCATGTTTGTTTTTTTTGTTTGTTTTTTTACAGCCTAGGCTATGGTCAGCAGAAACACCCAGCCCCCATTACACTAGAGAGGGGGAGGGCAGCCGCTCTGTGGGGGTTCTGTGTCTTTGGATGAAATTGTCCCTTTGTTAGTCCAAAATAGCGCAAATTGGGCAACTTTCCAAGCATGCAGTGAAAGACGTCTGTTTGAGACAGTGCTTAGAGAAGGCTGAGGACGGAGGGCTGAAAAAGAGGTGCCTGCCTGGCTGGGTTCCCGCCGGCGTGATTAATGTAATGTTGCTGGGATTTTACTGCATTATTAATGAAGTGCTAGGGGGGCCTGGAGCACTGGAAAAACATCTTTGGAGAATTATTACTAAAAATCCAAATTGGTGCACCTTTCCTATTATTATTATTATTATTTTCCTTGCCTGTAGATTCCTTATCGTGCTGCAGAAGGGCTATAAATAATAACCATGGGATCAAGGCCACACAGGTGCTGCTCCCTCCACCTCCCTAAGGAGCAGCGGCCCCGATGCTGGTGGGCTCCGGGTGCCTCCAGCCCGGGGAAGGCTTTGCCTGGGAGCTTCACCCACTGAGCCCCTCCTGGCTATTTTTTTATTTTTTATTTTTTTTTGGAATTGGCTTTGCCATGCCTTGTTGAGTTTGGTTTTTTGGATATTTTTTTTTTTAAATCTTCAACTCTTGCAATCTGTCTTTTGATCGTGTCATCTTGTCTGACGACGGCAACTGTGGGTTTGGTTTTGGGGTGTGTTTTTGGTGGTTTTGTTGATTTTTTATTTTTTTTTTTTTAATGCTGTGCTTTCAACCAGCGTTTGCCTGTCTGAAGCTTCCCGTTGCTAAGAGACTTCTCCCCTCCGCCCTTTTAGCAGCCCGGTTGCCATAGCGCTGCCAGCCTCTGCTGGCAAGTAGCAGAGAGCAGTCATTACTCATCCCCACACCCCCCTAAAAAAGAAAAAAAATAATTAAAAAAAAAAAAAAAAAAGGAGGGCTGCATGGGCAAATACACCTTTTTTTTTTTTTTTTCTTATTAACTCATTTTGGGACCCGGCGGGAGGATCCCTGCACACGTTGCAGCTGCAGATGCATGTTGCGGTATTTTCTTGCAGAAGTTCTTGGTTTGGTCTCTGCGTTAAAACAACACGAACTGCAGTGCTGACTCATGGACACCTGTGACGTTGTTTGTGGCAGCAACAGATATTTGAGGATACGCTTTCCAAGACATGTTTTGTACCGGTGCGACTGGCATTGCACCCTCCACGGGTGTAATTCATTCCAGTGAAAGCTCTGCAGCTTTGCAAATCAGAGCATCGTTCCTTAGGAACCGGGTTATATGGCTGGAGCTTTTCTCTTACAGTACTTTTTACTAACAGTAACAGCATACTTACCTAAAACATGTGGTGTGCTACCGTCAAAACCTAAAGGAATACATCCTGTTTAAAAGTTAGCTTTTCAAATGCCCACAACTAAATCTGTATGAGGAATCATTTCCAGGCAAATAGAGAGTCTTTAATTTATTTATTTTTTTTTAAGGAAAAACATATCCCCAGTGGTTTGGGTGAGAAGAAAGTTAACATCAGCCCTAAAACATATGAAACAAAAAGGAAAGTCTAACATCTTTCCACTTGAAAATGGTGAGCTTTCTTGTTGTCATTTGGCTGATTGCCAAGCTTTACCAGCTGGGTGCTACAGGGTAACAGGGAGCATGGCAACACAGACTTGCAGGTCTCTCATCAGCCACGCTATTCACTATGCTTAGTTTAAAAAAAAAAAAAATGTGTTTGACTTCTGTATAAAAATGAAAGTGCTGTGCATATAAAACTATCTTTAAAATGCCCTGCTAATAAAGAATTTGGTAGTGCAAGATTAGCCATGTGAGAATGTAAATTGTGTGAGTTAAATGTCAGATGATTTTGGGGGGAGAGAGGCTTTTACCCCAGTGAATGTTAAGAACTGTACTTGAGTTTGACATAGGATAGCTTCAGTTATTCTATGATTTTAGCTTCCATTAATCACCACAAAACCCTCCACCTCAGTTGTCAGCATAAAGCCTCTCTTAACATCCAGAGAACTTTCTTCCCACGTTCTGCAGTTGGTGAGATATTGTGCTAATAAATGCAGCGAGGAGCTAGACTCTGTGTCCTCAGATGCCCTTCCATTTATCCAATCCGGCATCTGCCTACTTGAACAAGTGCATCAGATACAGGCAGCTTGCCAGCTATTAAAATGTTACACCTACCGCCATGAAGCTAAATTGTACATTTTGTTTTCCCTTGTCCTTGAAAAGGGCTCGCTCCTGAAGTAAGAGGAATGTGCTTAATGTCTGCTTGTCTTAAATTCCCTCTTTACCCAACTATCCGTTCCTTGATTTGATATTTTATATTCTCTTCTCTTCATGCTATTTTGGGGAACAATAAATATCATTGTGCCAGGAAAGACATTTAAGAAAGAACCTTTGTCAATGGTATGGAAAACGGATTTCAAAATCCATTTCAGCTCTGATGAACCATAGAAATAAAACATGGTGAAAAAGATAAAGAAATGGGATCATTTCAAAATTTTTTATTTTATTTGTTCCAGTTAGTATGTTCTTATTCTTCTTGGTAGTTGACCTGAGATAACTTCAACTGAGGGGTCCCTGTGCTGTAGTCATAATGCAGACTTCTCTGAGAAACGCTTTGGTCTCAGTAAATTAGCATTTGCTTATTGGAAAAAAAAATCTTCTTAGCTTTACTATTTGCTATTCTAAAGGAATTCAAAATTTGAGCATGGCTGTGTTCAATAAATTAGAAATTGGAGATCTATGGTACAGATATTTTAGTTCTGGAAATATTGATTTAAGGGAAAATATTTCCCAATTTATTATGTGAAGATCCTTGCTTTATGACAGAATTAGGTGAAGATCCATACCCTCACTCAGATTTCTTTAGTTCTAGACTTCATTTCATCCAGAAGAGAAATGACTGGAATAAAGGTTAAATATCCAAATCAGAAATATTATTGCTTGTGTTCCTTGATGTTTGAAATGGTAATAGAACAAATTGAACATTAACCTAGTAGGACCAAGGCATCTCTATTTGCCTGGTTTTGACATCTGAATTGTGCAATAACTTCTCCTTGCTGAAATTATGCAATGGTTGTTAGTCAGTCTCTCATTTCCTCAAGCATTTGTGCACAGATTACATCCGCATATTATATTTTATTATGACTCATTAAAATGCAAATCGACAGCAGTATGCTATCACAGTTCCAGGATAGATCTACATCATTAAACGGGTCTACATTTTGATACCTTTCTCATAGCCAACACATGACCTGAAATGCACATCGGCATCTTGCTTTCTGAGTGTCTGAGCAAGGTTAGCTTTATGCATCGTTATTCTCTCTGTACCTCCACGTCTTTACCTGTTGTGTGCAAGTCCTCTCCTTCATATTTCTTTCCAGTTTCCTATCTTTTTTTTCTCCATGCTCACCTGTTCTCAAGGTAAAATCACTGCCTCATGGCTTACATACTTCCATGAGAGCTGTCTGATTTGTATACTTCATCTGACTATCACAGTCCCATTTTTTTTCTCTGCTCACATAAAACATGGATTGCTGCTTTTCCTGTGTCACTTCCATGTCTACTTGTTTCTTGTAGTATTCTCTCTTCCTATCTGAATTTCTCCTCTAATCCTGTCTGGTGCAGTTATTTGATTCTCTACAAGGCACTTCAAGTCACCTCAAATGTTTTTCAGCAAATGCCTTCACCATCCATAAATTCTGAAAGACAAGATATCAAACTGACCCAACAGTACATTGTCCTTATGGCTGGTGCCAGACAGGACATTTACTTTGTCCCTTAAAACCTTTACATAACAATAACTTTACATCAGCACAATTTCCATTTTGCTGAGTCTTAGTTACTCTGGTACTAGAATTAGATTATAGGAAATTGTTGTTTTTCACCAGTTATATGCCTACACTGTTCCCAAGTTTTCTACCATTGACTATGCTTTGATATTATAATGATGATTTTCCTTGCCACCCAAACTATTTTTTCAAAGAACTGTTCAGTAAAATTACTTCCCTCTGACAAGGTCAAATTCCTAGATCTTAGCATCTATTTCTTGAGCATTTACGATAAAATCTAAAATTTGAATCCCAGTGTTCAAAGATATATTCCTTTACATAGAGAAAATTGCCGTGAAGGAATGCCCAGTTTTAATTCAGAGCAACAACCTAGCTCTGTCAAAGGCCCTACTCTACCGACAGGAGAAGTCATATTAATTTTTCAGCTCCACCAAAAAGGTTACATCCCCAAATATTGGGCTTTGTATTGACTCATTTCTTTGTGTCACTGGCTTATTTTCTTGTATTCCTGGAGCCTGGTGCCACTGGTACAGGATCTGTGGATTTCTCTGAGTATCAATTTGGACATCAATCTACTTGAACTTGGGCCATGGTTTTATCCAGAGTTGAAGGGACCCACAAGGATCATTGAGTCCAAATCCTGTCTCCATGTAGAACCACCCAAAATTCAGACCATGTCTGAGCACATGAAGGTCCATGTTTGCCTGGCCACAGACAGAGAAGGCAAACAAAGATGAGGGTCCTGAGTAATGAGACGCTGACTCTAACTTTCACCTGCTACCAGAGTCACAGCCAGGATTAGCTGAATCTGGGGCTACCGTGACTTAGTTTAGATAGTTGTGACTGAAGAAGGTTGAGGCAGTTCTGGCTGCTTTCAAAATAAATATGTTGATCATCTGCTCTCATTGGCTCCCACTCCAGTTGGCTTACTTGAGTTTTTAAAAGTAGCATGTCTGTTTGTCATGCACCTGGTGTAATTCTATTTTTGTACTACTATGAGGCATTTTATAAAGTACATAAATCATGCCAAGTACTGCAGTATTTTCAGCATGTGTATGTGCATGTAATACTAGCACATAGCCCCAAAGAAAATCCATTGTCAGAATTATAGATCTCTAGATATTCATTATTCACCATTGTTTGGATTTCTCTCCAAAACATTTTATTATCCTTTTAGTTTGATAGCAGTTTTCTAGACCATTGTGCAAGCCTTAGTGTTACTTAGCAGTTAATCTCACCCCAAAAAAGAATAACAAGCTTCTTTGTCTACCCAGATTCACACTGCTGTTTGATCTGATCAAAGAAAAAGTAACACCATTCATTTTTGTAGTACCACTTTTCTTTCCACTGTTCTCTCAAAATACTAATATAGTGCATGTACAGCTGTGTGTATGTGTGTGTAACAACATAGAAGAGGTTAAGCTTCAGTCTGAAACAATGTGTGCTGGGAAATAATAGTATTCATTAAGAGTAAATAAGAGAAACTCCAGCATGTTCTGTGAAGGTTTTGAAGGACTGGATGGGATCCATAGATGCTCAGATGTTGCTGTGATAGAGGCCTTCAGAAATGAGTGGATAGATAAAAACGGTATTTATCTTTCACTTTTTTTTTTTTTTTTTTTTTTTTTTTTTTGTTTAAGCTTTGTATATATGAGATTTCTTTCTCAATTAATAAACACCTAATGAGGTTCTTCTTAAACCGATGATGACTTTAGGTAAGTCGTTTTGTGAGCGTGAACAGGATGAACTTTCTATTCCTTTTCTAGAAAAGTGATTATTTAGACCCATCAATATCTGTTTCCAATCCACTCCTTCCATGTCTTTCAACTGGAGATGTCTAAGTAGAATTCTTTCTTCTCTCTACAGAGGATAAAATGTAATAGCCCATGGCTTCAGAGTGTTCATGGCTTCGGTGTTTTTTGTTGCTCTTGCCATGTTATTTTTTTTCTGTTGTATCATTCTTTTTATTTATTTTTTTTCTTTTCTTTTTTCTTAGCCTAATTCCCTATTCTCCTGTAGATTTGTATTTCAGTTTTTAGCCAGAGGCACAAAGTGCTTCTCACGGAGTCTCCTGAAATTTCTCAATCCATTCCATGAAAATCAGCATGAATGTTCTTGTCTCATGGGATTCCTAGAATAGATAAAAGCCTACAAGGGCAGCTACAAAGTGAAAAAGAAGAAAAAAAAATAAAAATAAAAAATAAAGTCAAGTTGTCTACAACTCAGACTGCCTTTTCACCTTTGGTGAGAAAGTCCATCCTCTTATCTCAGAATCAAGGCCTCCATCCAGTTTTCACTGGAGACAGTGTAATGTTTTTTTCTGGGTTTGAGTGAGAACTGCATCGGTCCCCTGCACTCTTCTACTGTATAACAAGTTAAAGTAAGCACTTATGTGTAGCCAGGCCATGGCAATATACCAAATCACTATTTCCTTCCCAGAATAAGCAATTATGAAACATAAGCAATGTTTTGTGCTTGTACATTTCTTTATGGCTTTTAATACTTATCAAAACTTTAAGAATGGAGGTTGTATTTTTCAAGACACCATGTGCATCTCAAAGCCTAACGTGCAGTCTAAGTCAATTGGGCTTTCAAGTCACGTTGGTAAAGAAGAAAAACTTCCTGAGCATTTGAGGTAAGGTTTACAATTTTTATCATTCTTCTCTTTCTTTTCAGTGTCACGTTCTTGACATCTTGCTCCATTCCATCACTGCAAGATGAATGTCAAATTAATTTCACCTGGCCTTTTATGATCTGTCTTACTCTGTGAGATCCACTGTTCACACAAGGAATAACAAAGAGTAACTATTGATCATTAAGATAGGAAATAGAACTAAAATTTATCATTATTACTAAATAAAACTTATCTGCGTTTTTACATGTCTGTAAGTCTGGTCTTTCATAAATAGACCAGAAACTTTTCATATCCCTAAACTTAGTGTCCACAGGCCATGATATACAGAGGCAACCAAGCTTCAATCTCTAAGGTAGGTTTCAGTAGAAATTCAGACGTAAATTTAAACTCAGAGTCTTAATATCTGGCCATGGACAATACGGAATAGATAAAAGTGTTCCAGAATAATATACGTCTTCATTCCGTCATTCCCCACTCCTGGAAAACCTTATAAAGAGGCTTGCTGGTTCCCTAAAAACATCTTTGTTCACACATTACCCTGACCTGGTCACTAAGACCTTCTCATGTATTTGGAAGTCCTGAAGTTGGGGACTAGGACTGAGGATGCTGGTAGAGGCATGCTGTAAATCCTGTGTTTGCAATAGGTGTTACAAGTAGCCTGCAAAGTGGCTAAAGACATCTTGCAGCAATAGTTCAAAGACTTGGAGAACAGAAATCCTGGTGAGGGAATGTGGGAAAATTTCATGCTCTCACAGTTTTGGTTCTTAACTGAAATACTTGAATGAGAACACAGATTCATATGCTTTCTTCTGTGGCATCTGCAAAAATTAATTAA